AAGAGAAAGCACATGCCCAATGGTGACCTGTCGCTTGTGCCTGGCAGCAGGTGAGGTTTATTTAATGGTCAGTTGCCCTTGAACTGTGTCCACAGGCCTCAAGCCTTTCTCCTAGCCCCTGGCTGGGCGGCAGCCAGCAAGACGGTGTCCAGCTGCCTGCTCCACTTTGGCCTCCTGACCTCTGACCGATGAACCAGTCAACTGGGCCCAGAAGTCAGAGGGGAGAGTTCAATGCCTCTTCTAGTCTCTCAAGGCCGATTCAGTAAATATTGATGGCCCACTAGGCTGCTTCTAACCTTTGTCTTAGAAAGTTGGTAAGTTCCCATCAGCCTTGTACCCAGCCTGTTCCAGAACTGAGACTGTCTTCATCCACACTTAGTGCTGCTGTCTCTCACTACCCTCAGGGAGTTCACAGCGGAGGCTGACACTACACACACACAAGTGTCCAGGCTTCTCTCCTCCTGGTGCTCATCCTGCATTGGTCAATTTTTGCTCTCATCCTACCACCTGTCTTTCACCATCACTGATCCTGGTCTCTTTTTCTGATAAGAATTCCAGTGAATTTTAAATGACTACCACTCACTTTTATTCCCTCTAGCAGTTACTGTTAGTTGGTCAATACAACATTGATTCCCAACTCCTCCTCCTTTGCATGCCACCATAGAAGTTAGAAAAGCTCAAAGATACTTTTCCAGCCTCTATGCAGCCAGAAGTGGTCATGTTCCAGTTCTAAGCAATGAGATGATCCGGAAGTCAGCTGGGAGATTCCCAAGAGAGCTTAAGCTTCACTGATAAAAAGGACAAAGAGTGTCATAGTTCCTTTTTTTTCCCCCTGACTTAAAGTTGAATATGATGATTGGAGCTGTGGCAGCTATCTTGTGAATAGAGGAAACAGCTAAGAAAATGCAGAAACAGCAGCCCTGACATAGCTGACCTTTTGAACCAAAGTCAGTAACTACCTAGCTCCAAATTTCTTGTGATGGGAGAAAAAAAAGTGTATTCTTGCTTTTTTAGGTCGCTGAGGTCAGTTTTCTGTAACTTGTAGCTTAAAAGTTTCCCAAACTGATAGATTTTGGTACTGGGCACCAGATCCAACTTTCTTAATGTCAGCCAAGACACTGCACATCTGTTAACTTAAGACTGTTTAAAAAAAAAAAAAGACTGTTGAAACATTTAAAGACACCAAGGTGAATGGTCCAGCTGTGGCGGGAAAGTACAATGACCAAATAACAGGTCATTACTATCAGAAATTAAAAAACAAACAGGTTTTACGTGAGCCAAAATCCTATCCATTGAGACTGAAATGCAACCTTTCCCTCAGCCAGAATCCATCTATCAGTTTAGATGGAAATACAATCTTTCCCTCCTCCCACACAGTTTGAAAATCAGTACCAGAGCTGGTGATTTCTCGTCTGAATTATAATTCTCTCTTGTTATTCAGAATAAAACTCGGTAGCCAGTTTTTCCCCAAATCTGACATCTCATAAGATGGCACACGAGTTGGATAAAAAGGCTTTGAAAGGAGCCACAAGTAGGGGAGGGTGAGGGATGCCTTGGTGTCCTGGGAGGTGACTGTCCAGCCCAGCTGGCCCGAGCCAGCCCTCAGGGGGAGTGCTGCCTACTCAGTAATTGCTTCATCACAGCAAGTGGAGACTGTTTGCAGGTGCTGAAATCACTCACTCGTGGGGGTTCTACTGCACTCGTCAGATTAACACACTTTTTATTGAATCACCACTTCACTGGCTCAGAGCACACGACTTCTAATAACAGGACAATATCTGCTGCTCCTGGACACCAGTGCACATTCAATACTCAGATCTGCAGGGGCAGAGGGGGAGCAAGGTGAGGAGACGGCCAGAAGCTAAGTTTTTCCTCATGCGCACAGCTGCAGAGCTCAAACCTTAGAATATCCAAACAAAAGTAACTTAGTCATCAAGATGACCAGGATAAATACTTACATTGATATTGACAGGTTAATAAAAAGCAGGCAAAACTGATTGGTATAAGGCACTAGGACAGCAGGCACATCACCACATTCAGAACACTTAAAACTCGAATCAGGGACTTCCCTGGTGGTCCAGTGGCTAAGATTCCATGCTCCCAATGTAGGGGGCCCAGGTCCCATCTTTGGTCAGGGAACTAGATTCCACATGCTGCAACTAAGAGTTTGCATGCCACAACTTAAAGAAAGCCTTGTTTATTGATCATCCACTGTGTGTCACATGTGCTACTTTACAAACACTCTCTCATTTAATCCTCAAAACTACCCTGTGAGGTAAGATGTAGTCTGCTGAGACTCAGGCTGTCCAGTAAAATACACTTACATCTTCTTCCACAGCAATGGAGCCCTAGTTGGGCACATGGTCTCCTAGGTGGTGAAGGGCCTTGCAGCTTAGCTGCAATCTTTGCCAATGGGAAGAGGGCACTTTGGGTCCAGTATTCTTAAGACACTGAGTGTGCTTCCTCTACTCTATCTTTCCTGTGAACACTTCAATGTGGTGCAACCTAGCTTCATTCACGAGGTGACAACATGGGGGATAGAATCACAAGATGGAAGGAATATGGTAGAACCACTACTATTCTGGTACCCTAGACCAGGAGCTGGCAAACAATGGCCTTTGGGTCCACGATTTGTTTCTGTAAATAAAAGTTTTACTGGATGTATGACTTGTTTTTGTAAATAAAGGTTTACTGGAACACTCATTAGTTTACATACTGCCTATGGCTGCTTTTGTGCTTAGTTTTTTTTTTTTTAAGTATAGCTGAGTCTCATTATTTTGGTAGTTATATTCTATAAAGTTGCCAACAAAAAATTAGCAAATACTGAACCAGGTTAGGTTCCAGAGAGCCTCTGGTCACATTTTTATCAGCTGAGCAATACAAAACCCTGTGTGTTTGTGTCTAAAAAGACCTTATTTAATATATATTGTTGATTAATTAACATTGAACTCACATCCAACAGCACTATAACTATGCCTGAGAAAGCTAATCTAACACACACATTTTCTCCATAAGGCGTGTTTCAGCCTTCTTGCACTTTGGAAGACTAACTAGCACTTCAGCCCTACACTTGAGGGCCATTTTAAACCGCAAAATCACCAACAAAAAACACAAAAATGCAAGAAACTTGGCACTAAATAGACCAGAAAAAGGACACTTGTTCATAGCACACAGAAGAATGGAAAAATAAGACACACTATCACCTTGTTTGACTGTAACTGGACATGTGTGCCTCAGGTGAATCAAATCTCAATGCTTTGAGTCAGTTTGGTAATTACTACAGAAGCATTTCAAGTATTGATTTGGGGGTTACAAGCACATTTTAGCAAGTAGACAAATGCACAAATACGTAATCTGTGAACAATGAGGGTCAACTGTAGTTGCAACAGAGACCATACGGCCCATAAAGTAAAAAACTTCACTATCTGATCTTTATAAACAAACAAAACCCCAAATTTGGGGATTTCTCTGTTACACCAGTTTATCATGCCCTAATATAGGCTATAAAGTCTAGGCTCTTCCTATTTCAGAGTGCCATCTCATTTTAGCATCTATATTTGATTTTATTGTGTGTTAGTCGCTCAGTTGTATCTGACACTTTGCAACCCCACAAACTGTATCCCGCCAGGCTCCTCTGTCCGTGGAATTCTCTAGGCAAGAATACTGGAGTGAGTCATCATTTCCTTCTCCAGCGGATCTTCCCGACTCAGGGATTGAACCCAGTCTCCCAAAAGTTTGTGTTTTTCCACAACATCTTACAGAAAAACTCGAACAAAATTTTTGGCCATCCCAATACAAGATTCACTTTTCCACCAGCCTTGTTCCCTACTGAGTAGACCAATATTTCTCAAGCAGTGGTACTAAAATCTCCTGCATTAAGCATAGGTGTAGCTTGTTAAAAATAGATTCTTTGTTAAAAAATACACACCCAAGTCATACTGAATTACTTGGGATAGGGGATAATTCAACTCCCCATTTTAACAAGATCCTTAATGCATTCTTAAGACTGAGAACCACTGAACTGGGAGTAAGTTTAAGAAGAAGGAAATGGCAACCCACTCCAGTATTCTTGCCTGGAAAATACTATGGACTGAGGATTCTGATAGGCTGCAGTCCATACGGTTGCAAAAAGTTGGACACGACTGAGCTACATCTCATCATCATCTCATCAAGAAGACAAGTACCCAGGACTTTTCCTGCAACCACTGGGAGGATGATCAAAGGGTACCATAAAACGGGAGAAACAAGATGCCGGAGAAGGCAAATCACCTGTGCTTGATTTTGGGCCCCCTCAACCATTTCCGCTCAGGCTCTACTCGAAACTTCAGTTTCCCCATCTATAAAAATCTCACAGGCTTGTACTGAGGGTTAACCAGGAATGCAAATAAAGTAACAAACAGCAGTTGCTCGACAGGGATCAATTTTCTTTCCCTTCCATATGCAGTTACTTGTAAGCTCTTTGTGAACATCACCATTCCAGAATCCTCTACAGATTCCCACAAAGTACTTTTCAAGCTTCATGCTTCAGTACCCCAGAAGAAAAATTCCCCATCTCAGGCCACCAGTAATATACTAAACAGTATGGGGTCCCTCACCTTCGGGGGTCCCCTCATCTACAGATTTCTACGCCTTGGGGATCCCCTCACTTCCGAGTACCCGCCCTTTTGGGTTCCCCCTTTCACTTAAACGTTTCCTCTCAGGGCCTCCAAATCTCCCTACCGCGCCCTCTTTGGGGCTCCCCTTACCCGCGAGCCTCTTCCCCTCCGGGAGTCCCCTCACCTTCTCTTCCCACCTCTCACGACCCCTCGGTTCAAAACCAAGGACAGATGCAACCTTCGATTCTCCCAGCGGGCCGTCTCTCACCCTCGCGTCCCTCTCCCAAACCCACGTCGCTCTCATTTCCTCCCCCCACTCCCTCCTCCAACCAGTAGCCCGGCCGACCCACTACCCGCCGCGGGGAGAAGTTTACGGCTTGCTGCAGCCCCCGTTTCTCCCCTCACCTCTAAAGCGACGCCCAGATTCTCCCGCTTCTTTTTAGTCATGTTACTCGACGGGTTCCCGAAGTCATTATTGGACGCGCCCACTGGTGGCGCCACGCATGTGCAAAGTCTCGTACTTCTCCCTCATTGGCCGCCGAGGTGGCGGGAGGCGGGACTACTGGCGGTCGCCATCTAGCTGAGGGGCGTGGCCAGCTTGGTGCAGCCATGTTTGTGAGGGGCAACTTTTCTTTGCGGCCTCAGCGTAGAGGGCGGTGGGGAGAGAGTACCTGGATTGGTCCGGAAGGAACGATGGCCCGCCCAGGGGTGGAGCTATCCCATTCCTTTCTTACTCAAAGCCACTTTACAGCACAAGAGACGCTCTTTTTTTCACCGCATCGTCATCTGTTCCCTTCAGCCTTTTAGGGACCACTTTGCCCTGTTTGAGGAAGCCAGCTCCCATACCTTCAATTCTGTCATTTCTTCATTATGGACCTTCAAGGCCCATACTGAAGCACTGCTTCACCTCGAAGCCCCCATCTTGAGCCCCTTGGTCCTTTGGGAACTGATAATGATCTGTTGTTATTCCTCCTTTTCGTCGTGTTCTTATTTTTGTTTTATTGTAACAGCAACAGCCTACAAACGTCACAGAAGACTTTTAAGTGCAAAGCAGCTTCCTTTATCCCACCACTCAGTGCAGTTCCTGTCTTTGTTTCCGTGTATTCTGGTCCGGGCCTGGTCTCAGATCGTATTTTATGCTGTTGTAGTCCTGTCGTACCTCCCTGGTGCTCAAACGGTAAAGAATTTGTCTGCAATGCAGGAGACCCCGGTTCAATCCCTGGGTCTGGAAGGTCCCCTGGAGAAGGAATTGACAATCTACTCCAGCACCCTTGTCTGGAGACTTTCATGGACGGAGGAGCCTGGCAGGCTACAGTTCTTGAGATTACAAAGAGTTGGACTCGGGCGACGGACTTTCACTTTTCACTTTCAGTCCTGTCCATACAGTATGCTGTAGACCCACGTCCTTTGAAATGCTTTGACTGGGCTTCAATTTTGTATGGTAACCCAGTTACCCATATAACCAAAACTAATGTTTCCCGATAAACACCTTTACCACCTGTGAGGCACTCAAATGTCTTCTAATCCAGTCTGTTCAACTGAAAAAACCTAGTGGCAGGAGACCTATTAAGTTTATTTCATGACTCATTAATGGATATTTGAAATAGATGTTTTCCCACCTGCTTTTTTTAAAGCTTAAAAAAATTTTTTTTAAATTTATATTCATTTTTGGCTAGACTGGGTCTTTATTGCTGAGTACAGGTTTTCTCTAGTTATAGTGCACAGGCTTCTCATTGCATTGATTTCTCTTGTTACAGAGCACAGGCTTCAGGGTGTGTAGACTTCAGTAGTAGTGGTACGTGGGTTTAGCTGTCCCATGGCATGTGGAATCTTCCGGTACTAATTCTTAACCACTGGACCACCAGGGAAGTCCCATTCCCCATGTTTTGAAATCAACATTTGCAGTGGGGTATGTGGCCACCAAGTGAACACATCTTATTCTTGTATTATTTTATTGGATGTTACCACCAAATTATGCTAAAGCAAATATCTTTGTGTACATAGGTCTGTCCTTCTGAATTATTTCTTTAAGATAAATTCACATAAGTGGAATTATTGGGTCAAAGAATATGAGAATGGCATTGCAGCTTCTTATTTTCTGAGCAGTTATCTCTCTGTTGGAGTCTGTGTTTCTGTGTGTGAATAATAACCTTGACAGTGTTTGGGGGGAAAAGTCTTTTCAGGTCTGTTTTCTCTTCTTGATAGAGTCATTGAATGATGGAGCTGGAGGGAACCTGAGATACCATCTCGCTTGGCTGCCTGACTGAGGCCCACATCAGGAAAGTGTAGTAAATTCTATCTGAACAGGAAGCAGGCTGTTGAGCAGTTGTTTAGTGCAGTTCTTAGCTTAACACCCAGCCCAGGAGAAACTTACTCTAGAACACTGTCCATCAACTGTCAATCAACAGCATTTATTGTCAGAACACTCTTCATAGCTTTGGTTCTGATCCCAGAAAAACCAGACTCTCTGCTTCCCAATTATCATAGGCACAGGCCCAGGGGAGGTGAGAAGAGAAGGAAAAACATAGTGTTCTTTTAAAAGTGATTCCTTCTGCGTTTGTTTGGCACCAAGAAAAAGCCATGGGTGTGCTTCATGTTAGTCCCTTGTCTATCTTCCCCACTCCCGGTGAACTGATGGGCAAGCTGTCATCCTTCTCCCCAAGAAGGCTTGGATTTTCCAAACCAGAGCTTGTCCCACGTATCTGCTAATGGGACAAAATGCTTGAATTGAAGCTGGAATGAGAGCCTACATGGGTTGTAGTAAAAGGGGGAATTTTGGAGTGGGGCTGACCTGGATTCCAGTCCCAGCTCTGCCACTTAGCTGTGGTGTGATTTGGGGGCAAACACTTAAACTTGCTGAGCCTTGATTCCCATGACTATAAAACAAGCTCGTCATGTCAGACTTACAGGGTTGTGAGAAATACTAAGTGGTTGGAACTGTGGTTTGTGAGTGACCAGGAGAGAGAGCAAGACTAAGGCACCTGCTGCCAGCTTTTCGCTATAGGGTTTTGTTTAGCAGTTGTTGCCATTCATATTTTTTGCTATTGTTTTGATACTAGTTTCTGTCAACTTTGATATTATTGTTAAACATCTGCTGTTAGGAGTTTAGGTTTATTTCCTGTTATTAAGGATGTGTAGTTTACTGCAAAAGGCAGCCACTAACGTTCACTCTATTCAGAGAGGAGATGCCCTCTTCACCTCTCTACTCATCCTTCCTGCTGAGATCATCAACTGTGGGTTTCATGTGCCCAGACATTGCAGACGGTGATGCTGGGGAGGTTAAAAGAACCCCAGGTAACCCACTGAGGTCCTTTCACCCCCTGGTACGTTCAAAGACCAGCTTTGATTCCCCTGGGGGCTGTTTGCAGAGCCTAATGGAGCTTGGCCTGGCTTTGTGCCGGAAATTCTGCCCACATGCAGATGAATTACCGTTGGCTGTCTATCTGTCTGTCTTTGTTCTCCAGTGAGCTGTGGTCCTGAACTGTCTGTTTGGGAATTTTGTAGCTAAATTTTTAATGGAAATCAAGCACCACACTGGCAAACAGGAGACCTGGATTCACTCCTGGCCAGGTCAGGTTCTCACTTCCTGACCTTGGGCAGGTCAAGCCTCTTCTTTGGCTCTCAATTCTCTTGTCTGTGAAATGGGCACACTGGGGAGACTAGACAGCTTAGAAACCCTAGGATTCTTTTTTTAACGACCTAGTTACTTGTAAAGTGCCCAGATATAAGGCACCCTCGTTGACTGTAAGGTGGACATATAAAACAAGAAGCAATCATTACCCTCAAGATATTATCAATTTAGTTAGAGAAACAGACTGACAACATGAAATAGTGAATGCCAGACAACATATAATTAAAAGCCAGCTGTCTGGTACTTACTGTTGATGCATTAGGAGCTCAGGGTAAAAAAAGAACGCCATGCGTATTTGGGGTGGCTTTGTGGAGGCTATGGGTCTTGGAGGATAAATGAGATTGTGTAAGTTGAGACGGCACTCCAGGTGGGAACCCAAGGGTTTCCTGTGCAGGGGGTGCCCTTTTCAACCCTGCACAAAAGTACTGTATTGGCTAGCCACAGCCCTGGCAAATTGGTCATGGAGACCCCTAGGTCTATTCTTCCATCCTAGCCCCATCGTGGGCTTGCCGGACCCATAGGGCCCCGGCCTGGACCCCTACCACTGCCCTAAGGGCACCTTCTCAGAGCTGGAGTGGGGAGAATGAAATCTTTCATTGTCAGAAGTATCACAGGCAGGAAATGAAGAATTTTGTAGGTGGTTAAAAATACAGTGGAGGCTGATTTATGTTTGAATTTTGTTCCAGGACAGGAGATTATAGCCCAGGTTCTGAGGCAAAGGCAGCCGTGTCTTTATAGCCTGCTTGGATCAGTTTTATGTCTTAGTGATTTTTATATGTTTCAGCTAAGCCAAGATGTTCGAACTTTTTTGTCCCACACTTCACTGGGGAGCTCATATACCACTCCTGCACCTAACCTCATTTTCCCATAAATAGAAAAAAAAAATAGATGAAAAAAATGTTTTTGCTTTCTACCTAGTTGGTATCCAATGATGTTAGCTAAATCATAAATAGATGATGAACCCACTTGACACCCTGAAGCAGATGTCAGGGGACATCTTGAAAATAAAAGGACAGGAATCTAAATACTGTTGAATATGCAGACCAGTCCTTCTCATAATATTTTTAAAAACTAATTTATTTATTTTTGGCTGTGCCAGGTCTTTGTTGCTGAATGCAGCCTTCCTCTAGCTGTGGGGCACAGGCTCTAGGGTGAGCAGGCTTCAGTAGTTGTGGCACATGGATTTAGTTGCCCTTCAGCATGTTGAATCTTCCCCGACCAGGGATCTAACCTGTGTCCTCTGCATTGGCAGGTGGGTTCTAAACCACTGGATTACCAGGGAATTCCATAATGTTTTCTTGATAAGATGAAATTTCTATCAGGTATTAGCACTAAGATAAGCTATGTGGCCCTTCCTGGCTTGCTAATAGGATTTTACCTCATGGCTACTGTACCTTTTGTAACTGATTATACTTCTCACTATTTCGCTCACAACAAAGCTCAGATCTGAACTTGTTCAGGGATTTTGAGCATAGATTTTTATGTACTAGCATTCTCCTTGGCTTTATTTTCTTTTTCTACCCTTGTTTTCCCTTTGTTCTATCATTTTATCTATTTTTATCCCACTGTATTGTGTACATTTTGGTAAACTGCCTCAAATCCTTTTTTAGAACACAAAGGAGAATAAATAAATCAATAAATACATCCTGTGTTTGTAAATATGGCACTTTGTTCTTTCTAAGGCAAATTTTCACATCCATTAGCTCTGTGGTCCTCACACAGCTCTGTAAGGAAGGTTGGGCAGGCTCGGTCACCCTCCCTTTGCAGACAAAGAATCTGAGGTACATCCATGGATAAATGGCCTGAAGAAGAGGAC